CAAGTTCCGCGAAACGTGAGTTAACTGAAGTGTTATCCACTAGCAATCAAAAATCTGTTGATAACCTCTCGACGGTTTAATGAATAGAATTCATAAGGACACATCAACTCTAGGACATTCATTACGAGGTTAGTGCATTTGAGTCGCTTAGGAACGCGAACGATTAGACATATACGTGTGATTTACAGCATTCCAGAAATTATATAACGATTTGCGAGTAAACGGCGAAAGACACTTGAGTTGAGTAGAACATTTTTATATTACATTAGCGATATTTGAGAATATAAAAATCTCGGCGTTGATCAATCTCTAGGAGATGCGCTATACATTCGCCTTCAATTCCTACTTCTTTGAGGCTACTGAATGGCTTTCACATTGACTCGCAATAGCCTATTGATATAAATCAAGGAAGCTTCGCTATTCTCCCAAACAAATCTGTCACAAATCTGTCGAGTTCGAGAAATGGAAAGTTTGGTGAGTCTTTAGTGCGGGATCGAACCATCGACCATTGACTGATCGCTTGTGTGTTTCGCAGAGCACTCCAACCACTGCGTCGCACCAGCCGAGTATTTGCTTCATTAGTGAAACTGAGTATAGTGTCAAGTAGTACCGATTACTACGGTATCAAGCCAACTTAATTCCATTTCGAGATCAAACTAGCTTCACACTATTATGTCAGAGGAAGGCGCATCGACGAATTACATGTACGAGGTGAGAAAGCCGAAAAATCATTTCATTTTCACTCATTGTATATAGGTTCAATCAACACCTACCAATCTTTCTTCCCGTAAACCTAAGACTCAACTTGCTGATTGTAACAAGCGATTTCTTGATTGCTAGAATGAAAAGAGCCTACGATAGAACCTTTCTATACTTTCTTCACCTTTTCATTCATTTCGTTGCCGTTCATTGCCTCATTGAGAAAGGAGAACAGATTTGTGCAAGGGATTGAGAGCGGCTTTAGTGACTGTAATCTCTCTCCAATGTTACCTCAAAGTTTGTTGCCTACGATTTTCACTTGATCCAAAAGATTTATAATCTGTGGCGTTGCTAGTTTTATAGCTAACTCTGCCTGCTGTTGTAAATAAAAAAAACCTCTGTAAACTTGTGAAATTCCTTTTAGGAGACCTCTATTGTGACTTAGGGAAATTGTTCTATCGTGCTGCCAATTGAAAACGATTTAGCTGACAGATAATGTGGTAGAATGCTTTGACCCTTTTAGAGGCCTGGTATAACCCAAAGTGTTATATGAACGTTTCGGAGTTCTCGCACGCCTCATCATTGCCGGCGGTGAACATGTATGAGTACTGACTGCAGATTGTTATAGTAGTAGATGTGAGGCGCACGATATGTAGAACTGTAAGGTGTGCGAGAACCGCGAAAAGTACTCCAGGCCTCTGGAAGTCTTAAAAGATTTTATCAAACCACATAAAATTTTCTAATCGAGGCCTCAGATATAGTCGATAAGAGGGTATATTGATCTGATCATTAAGTTGCCTGCTTACCATTAGCGATTTGGTGCTATCATCCTTCTGAATGGTACTAGAATTATCTTGTGTGTAACGCCACAACAGAATTATTCTTTTTCATTTAAAGGGCGAGCTGAGTGCTTATAGACTTTCGATTGCCATTCCACAACAATACGACAGTCATAAGCGTTCTCTGTTCAACTCGAAAACTACTTAATTTCCAATTCATTGAACAAGTACAAGGTTGTTAGCCTATATAATGAGGTAAGATTGTGGTCGGTTATTACACTGCTCATAAAATGTTCTATGCAACGCTTCTGCTCTTCTGTGGAACGGTTAGTAGATTTTTTGACGTGACGCCTTTCGTATAGTATTTGCTGCCTAAATCATGCCCTTTTCAGCTCTTAGAGTTTGGTCTGGCTATGCGTCGGTATGAAGCACGTAGGTGTTTCCAAGTGTCTATGGTTTTATGGAATTACAAGAAAAAATATTTTCTTCTTAAGCATTTGGATGTCCACAAGAACTTAAGTTAAGCGATCGAAACAGGACAGAAGCTCTTAATCTGATCAACCAGATTCGTACAAGTGTCGCTCAAGGAACGTTTCGGGGGAAAAACCTTCCTTCCGCCCTCAAGTAACATGAACAAATTGGTGAGTTCATCTTTCAGTTTTTAATTCAAAAAACTTAACATATATGATGCTCAATATCAATAGTTACGTAAAATCTGCAATCATTTGCATGTGATTCACGCGAATATACTGCTTACTGATGGTAAAGCATTACAGACATGGAATTGCGAACTCGAGGAAATAGCAGAGAATCTTGTAAGCAGCTGTCCTCCACAACCGCTCCATCTACTGTCGGGCTTTGCGGAAAATTATCGTTTGTAGGTTTAAGGGAAAAGAACACTCCCGTTGATTCTTTGGAAATTGGCATTTTTAACCTCGACTTCTACAACGTCTTCTTGCACTATCCAGTCAAAGAGTGCTCTTAAGAAACTTTTACATCTGTCAACGTTCCATTCCCTTCGAAGTAGGCATCGCCAAGCTCAAGCCAGCCTCATGCCACAGATGATTTTTATTATAAAATTGTTCAGTTGGAAGCCAGCCAGGAAACACTCTGTGTGAAGAGCACTGCCCATCATCTTGAGAGTGCGCTTGACTAAATCAAACTTATGCGACAACGATGAATAACGGTGCATGAATGAACACTTGAGGGCAATCGACTAGAATTACAGCAGCTCTGAATAAGACGAGGGCGTTGGAACACTAGCCGGATGAAGTATTCCCAAAATCTTGTTAAAATAAGTGAAATTAGTCTAATTCGTTTTTGGGCAACTTTTGCAAAAGACTCAAATATTCCCTGTAAAAATGCTAATACGCAGCAAAATTGCACTGCCACTCTAATATTTAGAGGCCTAAGTTTTTTGAAATTGTTGGAATCCTGGCCTGAATTGTGACAAATTTAGTTCTGGAGAAGGTTCGACAACATTTGATCGAAAATTCCCAATTCAAAGCGCCATTCTGACGTGGTCAGATATCTCGAGTGAGACGTGGCCGACTGGCAATTTCTATGATGGGAATCCAGCACTGTTTGAGTTTTCTAATGTGCGTCAACATAACGACCGTTGAAGTCGACTGTTGTGATGAAGCTTTTCAGCTCTAATTTTTAGATGGTCCTTGCAAGCACATTTTCCGTTGGCTGCTCTGGCGCCATGTGCACTAACAGTTCTGCTGCCGCATGCGTTTTCTCGTCACCGTGAGTTATGTGAGCTCACAGGGATGATCAGATCTATAAAAAAAATCAGTTTCAATGATGTTTCAGAGACGTCTATCGAGGCCAACAAATCTACATACCTGGAGTTTCGTGTCAAATCGATGCTCATTGTACAACATTCAGTCCTGCTTATTGTGAAAATGGATTGTGCGTCAACGCTGTGAGACCAACACCGACAACATCCACAACAGCAAGAACAACACCTACAACAACAAGACGGCATCAACAACAATTAGAACAACAGCACAACACCTCAACAACGAGCGGCATCAACAACAATTAGAACAACAGCAACAACAACCAGGAAGAAAAGTACTGAATGTTCAAGCAAAGCGTTCAGTTCCACCTTCAGAGAAGTCGCTCTGGGAATGCATAACAATTTCAGGTATATTTGAAAGATCATATGTGGTCTATATGACGGAGTAATTCTAACATTCACTCCAAGTGTAGGCTAATGGTGCGCCGTATCAAATACAGCTTTCTTCCACGTACAGAGTCTATGCAATTTATTTGCTAAGATTACGCAAATTATCTAGGCGGTATAGTCAAAGGAACGATACATTGTAAGAAAAAAGTTACTCTATTTACTCCCATTTAGATCACTTGTTGCTAGAGGGTTAGCAAAAAACGGTGAATATCCTAGTGAGAACGCACCACCGGCTTCACGAATGGATTTGATGGTAAAGTATCTGAGAATCTTCCGATAAAATTTTCCTTCTGTGGTATCTTGTATCACTCACGCTTATTCAGGAATATGATTGTGTCGCAGAGCAGTTTGCACTTAATCACGTGTTATTATGTGATAAACAGCCGTCACCTCCCTCTGCTCGACCCGGGTACAGTGAAAACATTCATGTCCTGGCAACCACTGCGACTGACTTGCTCGGTGCCATCCAGAATGTGAGTTACGAGAATTCCTCCCATCAAAACGTGAAAAGTACAATTTTGCACTGTAAATTTTGAACGAATTTCTGAAACATTATGTAGGTGAATGCACTATCATAGACTGCGTTTTCTAAAGAAAATCTATTTGTCTCCCACCTTCCATCTTCATCAAATCAGGCAATTGCATCTTTTACAAGTGAACTTGGGACTAATGGCATTCCTTCCAACATGGTGATAACTCCTCAAGTGGTTCAGCGCACGCAAAGAACCGTGACAAGGGCTACCAAGGTTTGTTTAATCACTTGAATCACTCATATTATGGGCGTTGTCAAATTTTGTAAGCAAAATCTCAGGTTCTCTGGGCAAGCAATAGATATGTGGCCTGTGCAACTCATCTTTGCAGTGGATTCTACTTCACCTCCTGTATGTACAAAGATCCGTAAGTTTATAAAAGCTTGGTGGCTCTATGAAAACCCAAAAAACAATTTTGTTTCAGAGTGAACGTGGTTGGACAGAACGTCTACCCAATTGGTCCAGTTTGTGGTGCTTGTCCAACTGGTCCCAATAACTGCAACCTTGCTATTGGGCTGTGCTCTTATTAGGAATACATAAAAATGTAGCTATTTCTACTTAGAAATAAACGCAATGTAGTATGTTTGTGAATATAGAAGCTTTAGTAATCTCTGAACAAAGTTTAGGGAATTTGATCAGTGTGCTCAGTTACCTTTTTTTTCGAAGGGTTTGGTTCAGAATAGGAATCAGTAGAGAACCAATATCTTTGCTGACACCCACTCAACTTTTTCGAGTACATCCACGTTTCTAGCACCTCAGACATATATACCTAAGAGACTTCAGTGTGAGCAAAAATGCAATTTCAGACGGGAGTCGAACCCGTGTTTCATACATACCGTGGACGCGTGCTACCACTGCACCACCGAGGTACACTCGCACTGCCACTCATTCTTCGACATCTCTATGTTAGCTATCAGCCACAAACCTTTAACAGGTTTGGTCGGGTATGCGGTTTTACTTTATAAAACCAGTTGAGCTGACAACCATTGTACTAACTAATACTCCAAATTTCTAGTTTTTTAACTGCATTTTTCGCAGTTTCTAGTATTTTTGCTGCAAATGCTAGAAATTTCGACTATTAGTTATTGCAGTAGTTGTCACCTCAACTGGGTTTATAAAGCAAATCATGTACCCGACCAAACTTGCTCAAGTTTGGTAGCTGGCAGCTAAAAAAGATGTTGAAGAATGAATGATGGTCCGAATGTGCCTCGGTGGTGTAGTGGTAGATCGCGTCCCCGGTATGGATGAAACGCGGGTTCGGCTCCCACCTGAAATCGTGTTTTTGCTCACCACCCAGTTGTCTTAGGTATGTATAAAACATAATAACACTGCGAAAAATGCGGTCAAAATTCACCTCAAACAATTATGCACACTTAATACTGCTGCTCCCCTAACTTTATTTTTGAGGTGACAACTGGCCTCTTTCTTCTCCAATCATTTCAGAGAAAAATCTCATAAAACTGAATGGACGAGAACATTGTGCTATGACGTAGCATTTTTATTCAAAAACTTTGCAAAAATTTTGAGAAAATTAATTATCTGTTCGATCATCAGATCATGACAATCCCTTTAATTTCTGTAAAGCGACCATCTCGATCGAAGTACTGCGTCCGAAGCCATCTACTCAATCGATACGGTGACAACCGTTTCAAACATAGCCGTTTCCTCTGCTTTAACTATGCTTAGCGATTTCCATCATTTTGTGGATTTTATCAAACTTTCTGAATACTTGGCGGCGAAGATCGGCTTACTGAAACGATTTGTTGGCTGTATTGAGGATTACTTGAGTGAGGCATTTGTACATTGTGACTGTACAAATACTGCAAAAACTCGATTCGTGGCCGATTTTCAGTTCTGCTCATTATCACGGTTATTATGGTAATTTCCAAATTTCAAGCCTTAGACGTTAAAAAAAAAACAGCTGCAGGTTTAGAAAATTATTTTGACGACAACAATCTACGTTGCAAATACGATAATTGTGTTTGATCGTCCGATGTACGGATCACATCCTACCCACGTAGTCGAATGATTTCTCTGTCGAAGAAATGACACAGTAAACATAGGATTAGTAGAGCGGTTCACTGAATACGGAATACAAGCACTTACAATCAGTAATTATTGTTTACCAACAGTCATTAGTGAAAGCGATTCTAAGCTTGATGTGTTAGCTGACGTCAAGTCACATGACTGAGGAAGACCGAGCACTGTGCCATATATATATTTATTTATATTTATTTATTTATTTATTTACTCAGCATCTGTGCGAAAAAGTAATCTAGAATGAACATCAAGAAAAAAACTGTTGTCCAATAGCAAACATATGACGTACGGAAGGCGTTAAGTCATTTGTCCATTAGACAGTTAGAACTTAGCCTGATAACATCTTCACTAAAGTTATGAAAACATTTGCCCTAAAGTTGTATAAGTTGACAATGCTTTTTTGAACCTCTCAAGAAAGCGAAAACTGAAATGTTTGTATCAGGAGAAAGCTTGTATTAGCACCCCTGTTGTATTAGCATCTGACTCTCTGATGTCATAGCATTCGTTAGCTCCTACTATAATTATAACAAAAAGAGTAGCACCTCCGTATCAGTTACTATTTATAAAGAAATAGACCTTGTACAATAATCTTTTCAAAAAAAAAGCTTGCACATTGTTGGTTTTTCTGACGCTTTATAGCAAAACATATCCAATTATTCGGTTTATCCTTTCCTTTTTTTGGTGAAAATTAGTGAAACTCACCGTTCATCCATCTATACAGGGAACCACCGGTGTTCTATTAGAGACTTTGACAGATAAACCTAACTCAAACATTAGGAAACAGATCTGTGGTAAAAGTCATATCATTTGTTATGTTCACACGCTCTTTCCTTCTGTTCATTTTTGGACTTTTGAAATATATAAAACGCGACTTTTACTCCAACGTTCTAGCTACTACTTTGAAGTCATTAGCGCTTGTCATTCTACCTTATGAGCATCTCAAGGAGTATCAAAATCTTCTGACTTTTTCTCGATATGCTCTCATATGCGTATGCGAAGTGCTGTACTCGTTTCGCCCTATGTATTCCTCATCACATCACCTACAAAAGATCAGGCATATTGTGCTTGAACTCATGCAACCTCCATCTCTACCACTGAGCATAACGCATAACCACACGTTTTATGCTGACGGTCATACAGTTAACATGTTCTGAACCAAATAGCGACATAGTGTTTTAGGTGGGATTTCTTCATTTCGTTTTAGGCACAAGTCACAAATATCGATACGGTGAATTCTCGAGACGTTTTGGATAAATTCTGAAAGTTTAGGAATGAACGGAAGGCGAGAGTGTCTAAACATAACTGAATATACGGCATTGTTAGCAGATTTGTTCACAAATGCTTTCTAGTGTCTGAGCAAGACTTGTTGACGGGTGGGCTTCGCGAAATCTCATCAAATATAGCAAAGAAGAAATTGAAGAATTGTATTTTCAGTTTTGCTCAAGCTATGGATCGTGAAAATCGACGAGTCACAGTAGTTGAGTTGCACATAATGCTCGCACACATTTCCACCGCAGTTTCGTCCCAGATGAGTGTCAAAACCGTTTTGAACGAGTTTACGATTGTGTAACCAGTACCCAAGACTTTTATACCCAGTATGGACCACACGAAGTAATCCAACGAACTGAGATAGGCTAGTTTGACGGCCAATCATTCCTGCGCCAAAAGCTGGAAACTGCTCTTGACAGACGGCAATCGTTCAATGGACGGAATGGGCAAGATCTCAGTCCTGCTGGAGCGTAAATCCGTCGGCGCCAGTGTTGAGTTTTCCGAGGCTCCAGTATGTGTCGTAGAACTTGCTCCTCATCGTTGGCGGCGTTAATTTTGACGTTTCTGTTGATGAGGACCAACGACGTCTTTCCGATGACGCAAATGTTGGCCCACACCATCACAGAGTCCAGAAAATAACTGTGGCCCATGGTTATTCTATTAAGGACTTTTGTTGGCCTTTCTTGGGAAATTGACGTCCATTATGGCTATTGTGGAGTAGTTCGGCTTAGACTCGTGCTTGGGACGAATACGACGGAACCTATGCGAGCACCTTATGCAACTCAACTACTGCGACACGTTGATTTCTACGATCCATAACTTAAGCTCAACCAAGAATGACAAATGATTAAAACAGGTTCTTGATCAAAATTTAACAAAGAACTCAATTAAATTTTCAGCACTGACAAAAAAGTTATCATGCCAATGCTGAAATTACCAAAATAATAATTACCAGAACTTTTGATGCACCCTGCATATATACATACATACATATGGATGCGCCGCGACCGCGTGGTTGTGATACTCGTCGCGACGCTCACGGGGCTGAGTCTCACGCCCCAACATTCTCTGGCAGTTAACAGCGGACGTTCTATGGAGCACCACGGCCAGGATATCTCCGACTTTGCAAGGAGACGCGCTCAGCCAGCAATCTGTGATGTTCTAGAAGACGAAAATAAACTGAATGTTTGGAGTACTGGGATCGACATACTGAAGGAAGCACTGTGTGACGGATCAGTAGTGTCAAAAAACTACACATACATATATATATATATATATATATATATATATATATATATATATAGAACTCTTTGAAGAGTTTTCATAAACTTTCACAGTTCAATTCCTATGTAACTTCTTCTATGATTTTCATTCCCGCCTACAAATAAGTACTCCAGCGACACGAGTGAACACTGTGCAGTCACATGTAGACAACTCGAAAGACCGACTTTCTTGAAACCTCGGCATGTTAATAATATAAAACTTTGAAAATGAGAAGAAAAGCTTAGAAAACTAATCTTTATTTAAAGCTTCACGAGGTTGGTATCTTTTCCCAATCGATTGCTCTTCTTTCCGGTCGATGGGTTTTCTCGATTGCTTGTGGCTGACGTATCGGCAAATATGCCTTCTTCAGAGCCTGAACGTATTATTCGATGCAGCTTTATTTATATGACTATACAATAAGGAAAGAGAAAAAAAAATTATTTGAAAATCTAAGGTATTGTAACCGAAAATCGATTCGATTCGGAAAGAAGAGCAATCGATTGGGAAAAGATACCAACCACATGTAGACAGTTACCCACTCGGTAATCTTCATGGAAAAGCAGTATTCTTTTATAACATCTTATAAAGTCGTTATAAAATCATTGGTGCTCCTTCTCGAGCACATACATCTTTCAATCATTACCGTTTTTTAGAAATATAGTTCAGAGTTGCAACACGCTTATAACGGCCTTAGCCTAAGTTTTATTCTTGAGTTTCTATTTCTACTTCTATCATTAACACATGATGTATTGCTTGGGGCGCACACTTTTGGCAACCACAACTTCATCCTTCCCACGTGTGGTATTTTGGTAAACGTAACACACTCACCGACAGCTCTTGTGAAACAAGATTTTTTGTAAAGATTACGCTACACTTCAATATTTTCCCTTGATAAGCAGTTGCAAGGTTGGTGACAGTAGTGCTATTGAGTGCGCTAATCAGAGCAGTAAAACATTGACTAACGTTTTGATGGCTTCGCTTTTCTAGAAGCCCAGAGAGGAGGTCAAATTGATTCCAAATCTACTCACTTAAATACTTTCGCCACCTCTGGAGGAAATGTACTAAACACGCTTTCTAATCCGTGGTGGAGTTTTCCATGGTGAAATACTCACTGCTTAGTTGCTTTTGAGTCCTCCCCTTAATCATCGGAGACAAACCACTCAGAGTACTGCACTGGTAAGAATGTGTCTGGTTTACATGGCAAAAGTAGCTTGAAGAATGAATGCTACGAGGTCACGTGTAATTACGATGCACTACTATTTGCGGTTCATTTCTGGATATAGTACTTATGCCCAAA